CCAACATATCTATCATTTCAAGTCACAGACTGGGAATGTAATAGCAAACGATGCCATACTGGCTCGATTATTCATTGGCACCCTTAAGGGAGTTTCCTTTGAATGGTTCAGAAAACTGCCTGCCGGTTGTATCCAAAAGTGGGCAGACCTAGAGAGACTCTTCCTGTCAAGATTCTTTGAAAAGGATACAGAAGTCTCCATCCATACTCTTCTCGCCACTAAGCAGAAGAAGAGGGAGTCCGTCAAAGCCTTCATCAAGAGGTTCCGAACCATGGCTCTCCGGTGTTCGTCAAGTATGACACAGTCTACCTTAGTGGAGACCTGTCGACACAACTTGCAGACCGACCTCCTAGCCCGAATAGGAGTTGCAGAATGCCGTTCCTGGAGACAACTGATCTCTCAAGGCGAACAGGCTCAAAAGATCATTGCCAGGATCAAAGCTGAAGAACAAAGTAGGCAGGATCAACCTGAGCAATCGGATCAAGCCCAACCTTCTCCTGAGCAATCGGACCAAGCTCATTCTTCCCAGTCAGAACCAGAAGATACTACGACCACTGAAGCTAATCCTCTTCAGTAGGATGTCGGGTCTCCAATAACTATCACGTTAACAACTACCTCTGATAGTCAAGCTCGTTAGATTGTGGCCCACTAGGCGACGTGCCATATCTACCCTTTTTTCCCCATGCACTTATTCAAGACTGGGGTTGATTTATTTGTAGTTCATTGGATTCTGAGTAATAAATTTTTTGAGTAGTTATGTTTAATAAAATACCTCTGTCAACCACAGAATCTACCAAAACTATCACGTTAACATTTACCTCTGATAGTTCATCAACTTGTCAATCCGCTTCAATAGGATGACAGGTCCACTAAAACTATCACGTTAATCATCACCTCTGATAGTCTGCTTTCTCCAAATCAACTTGTCAATCCGCTTCAATAGGATGACAGGTCCACTAAAACTATCACGTTAATGATCACCTCTGATAGTCTGCTCCCTCCAAATTCTCTTGTCAATCCGCTTCAATAGGATGGCGGGTCCACAAAACTATCACGTTAACAGTTACCTCTGATAGTCAAACTCATCAGATAATGGCCTACCAGGTGATGTGCCTCTATTTCGACTTCATGGATAGTGCCTCACCAGGCGATGTGCCTTGTCTACCTCTTTTTCTTCCCCTGCTAAGTCTTAATCAAGACTGGGGGTTGGTTACTTGAAATCCATTGGATTAAGAGTAACGAATCTTTCACATCGTCGAGTTAACATTACACTTCTGACGATCATCATCCCCACAGAGTATGCATTCAACTTGCATCACTCCCAATTTGTCACGTTAACAATATACCTCTGACAACAATCAACTTATCAATCCTTATTGCTCAAATCGTGATCTTCCCCAGCAAGACACTAAGTCTTCAAAATCAAATTCAAATCACAGGTATCAAAACTCATTGTTCCTGATGATAAACTCATTTAGCAAGTTTCCCCAGCGAGACGCTAATTCCTAAAATCTTGTGCAAGTGGTGACTATGGGCTCTTAATTGTTGGAGTTCAGAGTTGGCAGATTCTTGAGAATTACGCCACGCTTGCAGCCTGGATTCCATATGAGAAGCGATGTAAAAAGGTACGCCTTTGGTGCGAAGAGTTTGCAGAAGTTCAATATGTTGCCTCAAATCAACCAAATAAGCGGTGACTGAATCGGCTAAGTCGTTATACCCTTCCTCTCTGAACCCTGATATAAAACGCTCAAAAGATTTTTTATAATTCTCAAAATACGATCTTTTGAAGAGAATGCGATCGACCATAGAGTTCAAAAAGGAGATGAAGCCTTGGAGATTAGAGCAGATAACAGACTTGTCCGGATCGTCATCAACCAATAACGCTTGGATTTGAGTTGATAATGATGAAGGAACTGCGAGAAAGTCAAATAAGTCAGTACAGTATATATATATGCATACAAGACAACAAACTAAAGCATACCAAATTCGACGGAAGAACCTTCAGCATGACTTGGTTCGCTCAAGGATGATAATCTGGATTCCTGAACAGTCAAGATTGGTTCAGGAATGGTAGCTGTTGATGCACCCGCTACATCAGGGACTTTTTCAACTAAAGTCTCAGAGGACGGCGGGTCCAAACTAAGAGACTCTTTAAGAGGAGATTCTACAAACAGGAGGATTACAATGAGCATAATGATAATCCGAGCTTGAAACAAACGATAAATGAAACTCACCAATTCTAGTCACAACATCGGCCGATGTACCAACTTCTTCAGTTGGTCTCGCTTTTGTTGCAACTGGACTAATCTGGGGAGTGACAGTGACTTCTATCATCATGGGGTCCATAGGAGTAGAAGGTTGAGGTTCAAGAACTGATGATTGCAAATCAACTTCGGTTCTTGTCCACGGCACAAGTTCACTACTCTCCAGTCGATCAGACGTACCAATGATTATAGTAGTATCAGTTCCAGCAACTGGTCCTATAATTCAAATACTTATATGGTTAATCAAGTTAAAATATATATGTATGCATATATGGAGTTTACAGAATAAAGGTCTTACTTTCAGAAGGACCTGCTTCTGTTGGACCGACTCCAACGTTGGATTCCGTGGCTGCACCAGGAGTTTTCCCCGATAGTAAGTCGGAGATATACTCATGGTCGCCTTCAGAGAGATTGAAATCGAGGTGATGTTCATTGAATTCCTCGACCTCTGTTGTATGCGTGGTCTCTCCTCCAACAGATTCGTGCATTGTGACATCTACAAAATGTGTTGAGTCGTAAATGACACATAAATTTAGACGAATTTGCTCAAAAAGACAATTAATTTTACCTTCGTTGGTCGGGGCTGATTCGAGAGCTCCACTACTGGTACCTGCTTCTTTTAATTTGACTAAAAGGAGAGAAAGCGCACAGGTCATTAGAGGAGGCACACGGTCCGACTCATTCATTTCTCGGATTTCTCTTCCGAGAGGAGAAAGATCAGTACCTGTGTCCGCAGCTGATGGATCAACGTCAGGAGTGGGTGGAACGTCAGCTGGTCCTTCTTTCAGAACATCTTGCATTTGCTGGACGAAGCTGGTCTCCTCAGTCTCCATACCTCCAGGAGAAGCAGCTCCAACTCGATATTCTCCCTCTTCTTGACTCTCTACAGAAATTGGAAATGAAATGAGTTCGAGCATTAAAAAAAAATGTAAGAGAGATAAAAATAAATAATTACCTAGTTCATCAGAAGAAACATTACGACCAGAGATATCTTCTACGGCAGAAAGATGAACGCGCGGTTTAGAAGCAGCTTTCTTTTGTTTCTTCGGTGGATGTGCTTCAGGACCTTCGTGACGACGTTTGGTGCGTAATTCAGTTCGAGGAGGAATTTGGGTTTGAGCTTGAGTGGGAGGTCGTGATCTTTGTCGACGAGCAAGAGGCACTTCATCCTCTTCATCCTCTTCGTCCCCACTGAGAATGTCTACCGTCATCCGATTAGGATAGGTCATGACGACCCTCTCTCCCCGTTTTCTCGAAGTAGCTTGTGATTGAGTAGGAGCAACAGATGGGCACACAAGTCCTCTTTCAAAGAAAGAATCAGAAAGACCCGCTCTTTCATCAGAACTTGAGCTAGTCTCACCCGCCTCCTCGGAAGTCTCCGTCTCCTCAGAGTCAAATTCTTCTTCACTACCGACTGAGCGAGCCGGTTCCTTTCCTTTCCTTGATGATTCAGCAGCCTCTTTTCCTCGAGGCGACATCACAGCTTCGCGAGGCAGTTCTGCTGCTTGCCGTGGAGCTATTTCTTCCTCTGAGTCTGATATCCTCCTACGTCGAGTGACAATATTGGTGGCTATCAGCCATTTACAAAAGAGGAAAGTCATCCGTAGAGGCGGCGTCTCTAAGGGGAGATCAAATTCAACATTGGTGCAGCCGGCAATGCTCCAAAACCAAGCTCTCGCCCCGTCGATAAGTCCACCTCGAAAGCTGAGGTGACGATTCGGGTTGCCGATGTATATCTGATCATACCCGAACTGACGGGCGAATCGACATGGAAGATAGGGTTCGATGTGGCAAACATCCCTTATCCTGAACAACAGATATCCAGGTCGAATATTCATCAACCATCTGAAGCACCCGACATCCAAGATGGTACGATTCTGCCTTGGGTCTTCAGCATCCACTAAGGTAGTGTTGTAAGTACCGGAGAACTGAGGGAAGCAAGGAAAAAATTCCCAACATTTGTGAATTTTAAACTGCCTCGTTATGTCCGGCTCTCGATGTTTGCTCCATTTGCAATTCTCGAGATTTTGCAACAGAGGGACACTGAGATCTACCGTATCAGGAGCCTCCATTAAATCTGGTCGATGAAGTACCAACCAGGCCATTAAGTAAGTATAGGGCAGCTCCAGCTTCGGAACGGACAGGCTGGCGGAAGGTTTCTTTTTCTCCTGGGTAAATGCGGAGATTAGTTGCCGCAATCCACTATGAATATCGGCCACCATAGCGGGAAGCAAAGATAATTTGCGACCTGTAGCCAGCTGGACGGCCGGATACAACACTTCCATTGGCATCGCATCTGCGGATTGATGGGGAACTACACATCTCTTTAACCATAAGGCTAGAAAACCCGCCAGCAGAGCAGTAGGGCTAATCGGAACACCAGCTTGCCACAGATAAGAGCGGAACTTAGTGCCGTGCAAAAATCCATCTTCTGAGCGCGAAGTATAAGAATGCGCGTTGGTTTTCTCTAACAAACGGTTAATTTCATCCGTACTCAAGGGAGACAATCCGCACACATCTGCCGAACGGACATCCAGGTTCTTGAAGAGATAATCAGCGAATTGTTTTAAACTGACTTGAGGAGACTTCTTTCTGGCTTTGGGCTCCATCTCGGCCATGGCTATATGATAATGACAGGTCAATTCCCATAGAGTGTCATAGGTCGCAGTCGAGCTATCTTTCATCTTAATCAGCTGATTGGTGGTCGGAAAGAACTCTTGATATGGGACATCGCCCATAGGCAAAGCAGACACTTGCATCATTTCATGCAGTGGTAGTCCAAGTTCCCCGTTCTTGGTAAAGAATGTATTGGTGTCCGGGTTGTAGATCTCGAACAAACAAAGGAAATGACTTACACTGCTCTGCAAGCCATGCATGGTGGCACGAATCGGGACATCCAACCCTAATCCTGCTAATTCTCGCCCAAAACGTTTCAACACATATTGGGTCATCCTGGTCCACCACCACTTGTTCCCAGAATAATGGACCCATCCATAACACCTGAAAGTCTCTCTGGGCAATCTTTTTCCTGCTGCCGCTAACCGGTTCTTCACAGTGTTGGCTTGCACTATCTTTTCGTTCTGAGGAATATTGTCTTGTCCTAAGACACCCGGATGAAGTCCTCTCACATGAGCTCTTTCACTGGAACCTGGAGTTGCTTCCTTTCCAATGAAACCACAATGAATGTGCTCGTGGTTTTCGGTTAATTTCCAGAACATCTCTCGTCCAACTGATAGGTTCCTGAACATTAACAGTGAATGATCCCGAGGGATAAAAGGCAGATATAAGAATGATGATCCACTCTGGTGCAACCATTGCGCAGGCTGGCAGAAAGCAATCTTCGGATCTTTTACCGAGTCACCAAATAAGAAATCTGGCTTCCTTATGCATTGATTCGAGTCTTGCTCCGAGATCAAGGGCGCATCTGTGATTAATCGTCGTAGAACACGACAACTACCTCGCTGGATTAATTCACTATCACTTCCGTTATAATCAGATTTAAACTGGGGAGAGAATTCAATTAACGGGATCCCCTCGTAATAAGAGTGGGTCACGCTACTCCGGCCAGTAATCACATCAGCAGTAAATGTGGTAGAAGGAAATCGGACTGATAAAAGAGGCATACACATAAATTGTGTAAGTGTCATCCTAAAATTTTAGAGAAAAACGGTATATCTCATTCTATAAGATATAGTCGTTATCTCATAACAGGTGTGACGATTTTCTATCCACCATATGTATAAAGGAGGTATGCGGGCATTATAACGGCATACCAAAACCTTTCAATACATATGGGATGATGTAAAATCGCCCCTGTGTATTATGAAGTGTGTTTTGTCAAAGCAAAACAAACACTTTTAAGCGTCGATCCCCTCAAAGGAGGATACCGGCTCTTCTCGAAGGTACCTCAAAGGATACAAACGAGGATCTGCAAGCAAAAATAGGAACATACATATGGAATGGACGAAATACAATATTTAAATTCGTGAAAAGGTGAAAGAAATATACCTCCACGTGAGGGTGCAGCAGGGGCAGCCTCCTCAGGGCTCTGAACAGGTGGATGGCTTCGGGTTCCTCGAGCTCTACGTGGCGACATGATGAGTATGTGATCTACATTGAAATCCAAGAGGAAGGTTAAGATTTTGAACATGAAATCGACAAAAAATAGGACAAATACAACCGAAATGATGCATGCACAGTCACAGTTGAAGGAGAGTCAAAATTTTGGAGAAAAGGGGAAGAACAAACCTTTGAAATCTGAGTGAAATCTTCCCAAACAAGAGCACCTCCCAAGTCGGCAACAAAGAGGAGAAGAAATAGAAGAAAACTGGTCGAAAATCGCCCAAGAATCGCCCAAAAAATCGCCAAAATCCGACGTAAAAAACCCTAAAACCCTAAGTCCCGACTTATATAGCAGCCGGGCGAGACAGGAAACTCTGTCTCGCTGAGCGAGACAGACAACTCTGTCTCGCCGAGCGAGACAGAAAACACTGTCTCGCCCAGCGAGACAGAAAACTCTGTCTCGCCGAGCGAGACAGTAAACTTTTCTGTTTTGCACTATGGAACAGTGGAATACTCCAATGGGTACACGAGTCTAAACTGTATTCCCACCCTCAACAGGAAGTTTCTGGAGAATATTAATCTGAATATTCTTAAGGATAACCTGAGGAATTCTCAATGGATATACCAATTCAATGGTAAACGCTGAATTCACAAGAGCAAGTATCAACTTCAATTCAAGATCTCGACAACGGTCAAGCGATAAACGCGACGCCGGGAGAACATTAGCTATTCTACGAAGAACTGGATAGACTAACAGCAGAAGAGGTCAAACATTGAAGCCATTTACAAGTCCTTTCATACGATCTATTCAGCCAAGCATTGAAGGGATCGTAAGTAAAATCTATCTTATCCAAAGTATCCCATGCTCCTCTATAAAAGAATGAGTCTGGAATACTTTGGAGGGGGTATCTGTAGGCGTCAAAAAATGCTAATAGATATCCCAAGCATAGAGAAGATCACTCAAAAATTCACAAGAAAGGATTTCATACTGTTTTGGAAAAATCAAAACAAGTATGAACTGTCTCGCCAGCGAGACAGTCTTTGCTGTCTCGCCAGCGAGACAGTGTTGAAATAGTCAAAACTACATTTGTAACTGCCCTACACGTGTCCATTAACTGCCAAGGGACGTGGGAAACATCATGGGCGAAAATCACGTGGATAACTGCCAAAATAACGGAGTTTGAAACGTGGGAGAACAGTTACAGCGAGAAACTGCCATTTTCCGAGACAGCATTTACTGTCTCGCTGAGCGAGACAGCAAATTTCAGACAGTTACTGTTCCCGAGACAGCATTTACTGTCTCGCGGGTCGAGACAGCAAACGTTGTCTCGACCAGCGAGACAGTAAACACTGTCTTGCCGTACTGACTTCTTCGATTGTTAAGTTTTTGCAGTTACTGACCCTTGAGGCTATAAATACCCCCCTAGGGTCACTTCTGACGGGGATCGAGCATTTGTTAGAGCATTCCAGAGCAGAGAGAGAGCAGATTTGAGTTCTTTTCTTGCAACGCCTTGAAATTAAGCTTCGACTTGATTTTAAGAAGAACGACTATCTTACTTCGATAAGATATCGTTTCAATTTCTACTTCGATAACGAAGTTAGAATCATAAGCCCCCTCTTCACGATCTGTGAATCGGCGGTCCACGAACCAAAGCGTTCCCGGCACAGGCAAAGTCCCACGAAAACGAGAATTGATAGACGATTTTCGTGTTTGTTTCTCAAGAGTTGTAATTTTTGTTTTGTTGTGTAGAAAAAGTCTTATAAAAAGATTATTCTTTCGAATTTGTTGTAATAGAACAAAGTTATAATGAATTCCACAGCAGCGACTTTTGAACCAAACAATATCTTAACGAAACAATATCAAACAACTACTCTTTTCTCTGCTAAATTTTGAAATTTTAATTGTTTTTTTATGATTTTGAATTTTTGTGGATGTGTTTTGTAAATTTTGAAACCTTGAGAATATTTTAAAAAAAAAATTAAATTTTAAGTTGGGTACTTGTAATTTGCATGTTTTATGTGTTGGTGGTAAGTTTACAAATATCAGGATATTTCTTGTGATTCTGAAATCTTGAGGGTGTTTTTTGTAATTATTGAAACTTTAATTTGTTTTTTTATAAAATTTAAATTTTCAGTGTGAAGGACCCTAGAGGGGGGGTGATTAGGGTCAAGAGGCTCTAATATGCAATTAAAAAACAGTACAAACAAACCACAGTAACAGAAGTGCAATAATAAAGAAAGAGATAAAGTTAGGAATCGTTATCCTTGACGCGCGATGTGTTAACGAGGTTCGGCCCGCTGACCTACGTCCCCGCTCCCCACTCTCGAGGAGAAATCCACTAACACATCCGGTTTGGAAGCCGGAACTTCGTCTACACAATGATCCCACAAGATCTCTCTCTCACTACACAGTTGATCTCACAGATCACACTCCTTCACAGTCGATCTACACAAGATCTCACTCACAGCAGCAGAAGATAAATGCAAGACACTCTCTTTACACAAGCCCCTATAGCAAAGAGAAGAGTACTGAAGCTGGGAAGTGAAACACACACAAGAACTCAGAAGAACAAGTTTGATTTGAAAATTTTCTCAGGAAGAAACAGAGCTCTCTGGTTCTCTTTCAAACGTTAGGCTTAGAGAAGAAGAAGCAGGCTTGGGGTTTTTATAAAAGAGTTTAAATCAATAAAAACAAAAACCCAATCTTCCTATTTAGGAAGATAATCTACTTTGCAGGTTGTGACCTCAGACTGTGCCAATCACTGATAAGTGAAAGCACAGGAGTCGAGGCGAAAAACGACCGTTTTAAAAAATCGCGGCTGACCAAATCGGTTGACCGAAGAAATAATCGGTCGACCGAAAATACCGTCGGTCGACCGACCGAAAAATTCGGTCGACCGCTGACAGCTAAAGAAATTTGGAAAACCAAGCAGAGCCTCTTCGGTCGACCGGAACGGTCGACCGATTTGAAGATTGAAAATTCGGTCGACCGTATCGGTCGCCCGCCGACAATCTGGAAAGATACTAAGGGATGGCCATAGGATCGGTCGACCGGGCCGGTCGACCGATTTCTGATATTTTCCAGAAAACAGGTTTTTGACCAACTTGAAATATTTGCAAGATATTCATTTGACCTCTGAAAATTCTGAAACTTTGTAAAATGTTTTTAATACTAAAAACAAACTGTTTGGAAAAAGAATTTTGCAGATAGGTACTCATACTTGTGAAAAATAGTGTTTTGTGAAAAAACGCTTAAAAGACACAAGTCTAAAAACGTGTGTGTGATTCCCAATAGCTTCAAGTAAACTCAGTAACTCTTTGCCTACATTCTAGCACTAGAGAGAAGAACAAAAGAAGGCTAATATCCTCATATTGAAAGCAATACTTGAGCTTTGATATAGCTTGAATCGGATGAAGCTTTTATATGCCTTTGTTGTTCTTGAAATAATGTTGCTTCATCTTTTTGGCCTCCTCCTCCTTTAGATGTCTTCGTTTTAGCGTATATTCCATCCATCCTCCGTTAATGGCACTAACGAGCTTGACAAATGATTTTACTACATTTACACTCAATAAGCCATTAGTACCGATAATGGTGGTTGTAAGAACATCATCAAAACATGAGGGCTAACACAGTGGTCTGCTAAGATTTGATATGTACTGGTTATATAAGTTTTAAAATTTTAAGGATTTTTGTGATTTTTAACTTATGAAGAAGTTCTTTTTATAATTTTTGTAACTTTGAGGTTATGTTTTCTAAATTTTAAATTTTTAGGTGTCAGATGGCAATCCTCTGAGTTCATCTTTATTGTTCGCAAATTTTGAAGTTTTATAATTTCAGGGTGTTTTTTTATTATTTGAGCTTTTGAGGGCGTTTCTAAAAATTTTAAAATGTCAAGGATGTTAGTTGCAAACTTTAAATTCTTCAAAGGCTACTGTTAATTTTTAGATTTTTTGTTTGTTGTTTAAAGCTTTGAAACAATGTTTTGTGTAATTTTAAAATTTTGAGAGTATTTTATGTAATTTCTAAAAAAAAATTGATTTTTTCAATTATACTTCATATATTATAGTATGTTAGTTCTTTACCTTAACAAATTAATACCGTGGACATATAATACTTTTTTTAAAGTAACATTTCATATATTACTTCTCCCTATTAATCTTTTTTTTAAAATTGTTAAGCTATAGGAAGTTCATATGGGATTAGGATAGTATAGATAGTATATAATTGTTATTAGGATAGATTAAGATTTAAATAAAATATTCAAAATAGTGAAGGACAACATTGACAATAGAAAGATTTTTCTGAACTTGTACTTTTAAAGAGAGTATATGATTTATTCACCTTCTCCACAGCATATGCTCTTTTTTTCCTCTCTCTAAATAGGAAAAAAATTAAAGCATTTTGTCTCCAATTAATTCTTTCAAATGAGACACATTTTGATATATTCTCCTCAGGAAATAAAGAAATAATCATTATGTAGTTTGTTAAAGGGTCCTTTTAACGAATGCACCTGGGGCATTCGTTAAGGATTTTTAAATACATAGGTATTAGAGTAATTAATTAGTTTGCTATTTGCACTCATTTTCGCCTAATAAATTCTGTCGATAACCTTTCAAATACCAAATATAACATGTAAGCCGTCTACAACCAACCAAACTAATTTGGCAGACATTTTTTTAGTCGCGTTTGTAGAGATCTATAGACGGAGTTTGACCTGTCAGAGAAACATGTTGCGATTGTTAGGTGCCTGCGGGCAAAGCATACCCAGGATTTCTTGTTGGCCATGCCTATTGAGGGATTGGGGCAGCGTATGACTCCGGGGGAGTACCAGGCTATCCTCAGGTACAGGTTGTTAGTTCCTTTGTTCGTGAAGGGGACAATGTGCCCAGTTTGACGTAGGACGCCGATGGATGCTTTTGGAGAGCATGTCATCCACTGTCAGAAGCAGCCGGGGTTCAAGTACAGGTACGACTTAGTCAGAGATGTCTTGTATGATATCCTCCGAAGAGCAGGGATCCCATCCAAGAAGGAAGCGCCGGTCAACTTCCTCACTCCTCCTGGAGAGGCTAGATCTGCTTTAAGGCCGACAGACGTTCTTGTCTACAGTTGGAGCGGAGGGAAGCATGCTTGTGTTGATCTTACATGGGTGTCTCTGTTGGTGGGGTTTGGTAATGGAGTGTTCACGGTTGGGCATGCAGCGGATAGGACGGCAGAGGCAAAGGTGGGCAAACATGATCAAGCTTGCAAGGACAACCACCACAGTTTTATCCCGTTCGCGTTCGATACGTTTGGTTACCTTGCAGCTGATGCAGTGGAGTTCATCAGGAGGATACAAAAATTCATGAATAGGAATGTGGCGACATCAGAATCAGCTGAGTACGTGTTTCGTCGGTTGGGTTTTTGCAATTCAGAAAGGATTAACGGTACAGCTTGTTGCCCGCTTGTCATCATCACATGTGTAATTTTTTTGTTTTGTTCTTATAATAAAGAAAACAATTAAAAAAATTAATACTTTAAAATAAAAATAAAAAACTCCCATGAGAACATGTAGGTTGAAATAAAGTTTCATAACATTTCCCAATTAAAACAAGCTTAATAGCATCCTTACGAACAAAACCAAATTTAATTTACCCAAAACATGCTTCATTAATCTTAAGTCTTTTCCTTCACAACACTTCTTATCGTGCCGATGTCTCCTACGAATTCGACGCCTTCTCCACTAAAGTCTATAGGAAACTCATTTAAATCAAAATGTCTAGCGCTTACATTGTCCATTTTTCTGTTCAAGAGAAATTAAATCAAGAAAGAAAATAAACCAAACAAATTAAGCCAGCGCTCATCGTACGTAAACAAGTTAAAAGGAAAATTAAAATTTTAGTACATAACTTTTTGGGGTCATAAAGAATACATTGTAACATTCCTTACTTAGCCTTCAGTTTCCACTGATTGAGCTCTATGTGCCATTTTACCCTAGGACAAATTTTTAAAAGGAACATTTTTTAATTTTATATAGCAAAAACGATCTTATTAGAAAATAATCTGCAAAACCGACCATTTTATTCAAAAAAGGGTTGGTTTTATAGTCGCGAAGTTTTTCGAGCTACACGGGACTGCTAGTCCCATATAGTTTGGCCAGCAATTGAAATGCACGAGACTAGTAGTCCTATGCTTCTTCTTCTACAATTGATTCCGAGAGGAGAATGAAATGCACGAGTCTGCTTGTCCCGTGGCCGAACTACACGGGACTAGCAGTCCCGTGTAGCTCGAAAAACTTCGCGACTACAAAACCGACCATTTTCTTCCACAGGACTGCTAGTCTCGTGGTCGAACTACACGGGACTAGCAGTTCCGTGTAGCTTGAAAAATTTCACGACTGTAAAACCGATCATAATCGGTTTTACAGATTATTTTCTCATGAGATCGTTTTGCTATATAAAATTGAAAAAAATGGTCCTTTTAAAAATTTGTCCTTTACCTTATTACACTGATTACTGTAGAAGTATAAAGGGAATGGAAAAGAGATTAAAGTTTCCCTTTTATTAATTCCTTGAGATAGTTTGCTACTGATATATAACAAAGAGGAGGAAGGTGAAAAGATTTTCCGATTATCCTCTCAAATTTATCCACCACGTATCAAAGAAGTAATAATTAATTACTTTCATTAGTCTTTTTATCTCAACCTTTTAGGACCCGTTTGTTTGCATTATTTGGAGGGGGAAAGTCTGTCAAAGTTCTGAAAAATCAGAACTTTGGCGGGCTTTCTTACAAAATAGTCCTAATTTGACAGACTTTTTCAGAACTTTTGCACGCTTTCACCTTCTAAAAATTACGTTCAAACGGACCTTAATAATAATCATAACAAAGTTTTTATTCCATATGTTCAGACCTCATTAGTCTTTTTATCCCAATATTTTATACATAAAATTTATAGAGATTCACAACTTTTAAGGTAGTAGGTGCTTAACTATTAATGCTGACACTGGTTGACAAAAACCTTGTTAAATAAGTAAAGATTTTACCCACCAACTTATTGTGATAACTCTAGTTTGACCAATTTTTTGGGCATTTGGTGTGAATAATTAGAACAATGAGCATGTGGGTTGTGAAACGAGTTTCCAAACTTTGTTGTTGTTTTTTTCTTCGGACAATTAAATCTCTTCTAGATTTGGTTGTTTAGATGGGGGCCACCTATGGTAACTAAGAAAAAAATAATCCATAAAAGATTTCGATTTTAATCATTTGGTACGAGTAATTAATAAATCTAAGATCTAGCTTCCCCTGTACACTTTCTTCTTGTTTAAAAGGGTGAATTCCACAACCCCCTGCAATATTGATGTTTGCACTTTCTATCCAGGTAATTTCATTATTGCAAATAGATTTCTCTATTATTTTTGTAGTCCTTTTTTTATTCCTTTGTGAAACTTTGACAGATATCGTCCAATGAAATTATTGAGTTTACCTGAAAATAAAAGGGGCAAAATGTTTAGCTTAGGGGTCTATTTGTAACCATATAACTCCAAAGGATAGTAAGCGAAACAATTATAGTACAGAGGGTTCATGTGCAATTAACCCTTTAAACAATGAATAGCCCTCTCAAGCGAGCATTTGTCAATGGGATGCAACTCTATACAAAATTTGGAATTACCGCAGTTTTTAATTATTAATTTTTCAAAGATGCACTGACCCGAGGGAAAAAACAATAGAGCACCACAAGTGCGCATATTCAACGATTATTTCTTTATACTTTCAGTCGAATAAATAATTAGAGTCACTATCAAGTATCAAGTGTCAAACAACGTTTTCCCCCTTCTTATAATGACACATTGCCAATAAAAGCTAGCTCTCGCATTCTTTCATTTTACTTTTATAATTTTTTTGTAAAAGAGGCACGTAGCTTTGTAAACCATTGATTTAATTTGAGTATTAGAAGTTAATTAATTAAACCCAATACCTACGATTTTTATTACAATATAATTTAATTTGAGTATTAGAAGTTAATTAATTAAACCCAATACCTACGATTTTTATTACAATATAATAGGAAGGAAAAAAAAATCATTTTTCTTAAAGCATGCTTGACAGCTTGGTCAAAATGGATTATAATCAACTGTTGCATGTTTAGTAACTATATATTGAGTGAATTAATTTGGTTATATTTTATCAAAAAATAGTCTAGAATTTGTAGGTTAAATTCATGGGTGGGTCATAATTTACATGTTTAATTGAGAAAAAATAATCAATAAGTTCACTACACTTTCGCATTCCCCTCTCACTATTGGTCATTTTAACGAAATAGATTATAATCTAACAAGGATTTACTATTTTTCTTAGAAAAAAAATACGCGGTTTCCACCGTTTATTTCTCAGACGCGGTTTTTCCCTTCTATTTCTTAAAAATAGTTGGATACAAATATCACTAGCATCCCCATTTCAAAGGATGAAAATGACACCCAAGGAATTACAACCGAACGTGCAATCGTCAAACAAGTAATTTAAAAAAAAATTAACTGCTTAAAAAACACTACACCCTACGAATAGGGAAACGTTACGTGACAATTTACTAGCGAGCGAGAAATTGATAGAATTTCTGCACAAAACATCGCACTCAGCTTTCGGGAGATCGTATAAAGAACACAGAACACAGAACACGGAACACCGATGGACGAGCAAAAATCTCCACGGAACCCGCCAGATGCTGGACGCGCTTCTCAGCAAGAGCACCGAGCTTTTTCTTTACTTGGAACTTTTCTGCCGCCCTCGTTGACTCCGCAACCGCATTAATCGTCCAACTGCAGCGGGCCCACCTCCCCCCCCTCTCCGTCAAGCCGTCACTCAAAACCAATCGCCTCGTATCATCGACCATAGCAGAAGTCATCCCTAACTCCGCCTCCTTCCCATACCAAAAAAGTCAAACCAACCATCTCCTCAAACCCCCTCAAACTCTCCTCCTGCTCCTCTCTCTCTCTAATAACCGCCGTTCTTCCTCCCCCTCCCTTTCATCCATCTCATCTCATCCCGCCGCATGGCCAACGGCATCTCAGCCTGCTGCTTCTCCCTCTGAGGGGCCGCACCCGCCGCCGACGGCCACGTCAGCGCCGCCGCGTCACATCGGAGCCCCTGGACGGGCCTCGGCCACTCCTTCTGCTACTCGCCGACAAGCCAACGCCGGCGGCGGCTTCTCGATCTCCGGCGCCTCCGTCAGCTGCCAACCCCTCCACCGCCCTCTCCAGCCTCCTCCTACTCACCGAAGCCTCGCCCTCCCGCAGCCGCCGCCGCCGCCTTCGAGAGCTCCGCCCGCTTTCTCTCTCCATCCCCTCAGCCCATCCTCGCTTCTCCTCGGGCCCTCTCTCGCCCCGCTATTCGCCCCAGACCGAGCGTTTTCTCTCCGCGCCCGATCCGAGCGCGGGTTCCTGTCCTGGCCTCAATCGACCCGCGCGCCGGCCCTCTTTCTCGGCCGCTCAGATTCCCAAGCCCCGCCTGCCGTCGCAGCGCGAGCTCCGCCTTTCGTGGGCTCTCGAAGGCAATTCGTCGAACGGTCGGCAGACATGAACACAAGCCATCAAAGGAGCTGAATTCAGTAGAAAACAGCAGTGGGTTCATCAGCGTCGATGAGATTATCGACAAAGACGGCAGCTTTCAGTGGGCACAGGGGAAAGCAGGGGAGGATCGGGTTCACGTCGTCATCTCCGAGGAGCACGGGTGGGTATTCGTCGGTATCTACGACGGGTTCAACGGCCCGGATGCGACGGATTACTTGCTTACGAATCTCTACCCTGAGGTCCAGAAGGAGCTCGAAAGATTGGATCTTGGTGGCGGAAACCACGGCGAAGTGCTCAAGGCCCTGTCGCGGGCGCTGATGAGGACCGAGGGGACTTTCTTGGATTGCGCTGACATGATGGTCACTGAGAATCCGGAGCTCTCTTTAATGGGTTCCTGCGTTCTGGTGATGGTGATGAAAGGGCAAGATGTTTATCTAATGAATGTCGGCGACAGCCGAGCGATTTTGGGGACGAAGGGGAGGAGGGACTTGAGGAGCATCAACGAAGAGATGGACGGATTGCTCGATTTGGTTGCTTTGCAGCTCACATTGGATCACAGCACTTGTGTTAAGGAGGTGAGGGGGGCCGGTTTCTGAAATTGTTCCATTTTGCTGAATTTAACGTTATTTGATTGATCATGTGATTGATTGATGTGCGTGTTTTCGTGCATGTTTTGATTGCAGGAGGTTGTTAGGATTAGAAGCGAGCATCCTGATGACAGTTCGGCAATTGTGAATGATCGAGTGAAAGGTTCGTTGAAGGTTACAAGAGCTTTCGGAGCTGGGTTCCTGAAACAGGTACAAATCGTTTCATTTTTATCTGGCCGTCAATTTTATGCATGTTAGCTGCAAAAAAAAAAAAAAAAAAAAAAAAAAAAAAAAAAAAAAAAAAAAAAAAAAAGAGAAAACATCTGTAGAACAATGTAATGTCTACGGTAGTGCTCATCTGGGCCCAATATGCACCAAGTTGGTGGTAGGATCTGAGATATTTTTAAGGTCATGGAATCCGACAAGACAAACGGAAGACACACTAGAGAAGAGCATCTGGTCCTCTAGGATTAGCTTAAAGTAGGAACCTGAAGAAAAATATTATCCGAGTTGATAGTGGGATTACAAAAATATTGGTGATATGCCTTGGGAGCAAATTATATTCGAGGAATTCCCTTGCAGTGCAAGTTTGTATTAGGTTTTGGTGCGTATCTGATATATCTTTGTCCTCGGGCCTACATCAGAAACACTCGAATTCGAGCGTAAGTACATGTTCACCTTAGTCGTGTCGATTAACTAGCCATTAGAATTCTTGTTCTGACTTTCAATGATATATTAATTTGGGCGATCTTTTCCATGATATATTAATTAGAAAGTTGAAGGCATTTTGCTGGATAACACTATCAGAAGTCTACAATTGTCTTCTACATGTTTATTTTTGTCCTGAGAAAAAGTGGAATATAACCGCATTGATCCTAGGTGTCACAATATGCACATTCTAGCACTATAGAGGTACTAGAAAGTTGTTTGCCCTTGAACCTCGCAGCTTAAAACCTATTGCGTGATTTCTTTTTGAGTGTGTAAGAGGCTGTTTGTTTTTATCTTAAATCCTTAGGATTCCATGGAATTTTTTTGTTTGCTCCGAGTGAAAGTCGGTCAGGAAGATGGTTGGATTTTACTGCCATGTCAACCAAATCGCTTATCTAAATTCCTCTCCTCCCCAAGAATTCTATAATTAGGTCTCGCGCTCAACTTTCTGTCCAACCAGACAGAAAACAGGAAAATGAAAGAATTTGGGAATATGTAGAAAGTTGATGGTGTCAAAACTTTAATACGTAATTGATAATTGCCTCCAATTTCCTCAATAAAAATTATGAAATGGGTGTTCTAAAATGTGGGTCACATCAACCAATAAGAATTTAGCAAATCATCATTTTTAAAAGTGTACATCAAACAAAATCTATCATCAAACAAAATTTCCTCCAATTTCCTCAATAAAAATTATGAAATGGGTGTCCACACTTTGTTTGATGTATCATCATATGCACATTTTGTTTGATGTACACTAAAATCTATCATCCAAACGCCCCTCAGATTTCTGAGTGTACCAGCCACATAAATTTATGTTTCTGATTGCTATCGGTATGCAATCGTTTAACAGTGGGAAGAGAAGGAAACGCCATCGTTCTCCTGAAGAATGCATCGACTGTTTTAAGATCTTACATGTAGAATTTTGCCTGATGCATATCCTTCTTTAAACTTTTCCGCAGCCTAAGTGGAACAATGCACTGCTGGAGATGTTCAGGATCGATTATATAGGAAACTCACCGTATATCACTTGCAATCCATCTCTCCATCACCGCAAACTCGACACAGGAGATCGATTCTTAATATTATCATCTGATGGGCTTTATCAATATTTCACCAATGAGGAAGCTGTGGCTGAGGTCGAACTCTTCATCTCAACAACGCCGGAAGGAGATCCTGCACAACATCTCATTGAAGAACTGCTTTTTCGCGCAGCGAAGAAAGCTGGTAAAGATCGAACTGCTCTAAAATCTTTTTTTTTTTTTGTGACTGGAAAAAATGTGAAGTCGAAACTTTAATATATAATTTTGATAATTGCAGGTATGGACTTCCATGATTTGCTAGAAATCCCGCAAGGAGACCGAAGGCGGTATCATGATGATGTTTCGGTCATAGTTATCTCTTTGGAAGGAAGAATATGGAGATCCTGCGTGTAAATACAATATAAAGATTAGAAAAGAGGCGTATGAGATAGAGTTTTACAGCAAAGCGTTGGCCTTCTCTTGTTTTTTTCTTCCGCAGTGGCATTTGTACATTGGTTAAAACTATGAAAATAGATTTGGAGACCAGTAATCGTGTTGTGATGGGATTGTAAATGTATACAAATTTGTGTCAATTCAACCTCAAATTTTAAGGGGCTGTTTGGTTTGCCCAAAAATTATGGAAAGTGAAGGAAAAAGAAAGAAAATGGAGAAAAAGTACAACTTATTGTAAGTTTTCCATAACATTTTTTTTTTCTTTGTTTGGTTCACATCTTGGGACCAAGAAAAATGATGATGTGCCAAATTCTTCTTGGTTGATGTGACCCACATTTCGGGACACCTATTTCATGATTTTTATTGAGGAAATACAAGGAAATTTTATTTGATGTTTTACTCATCTTCTTCATTTTTCTTTGATTTTAGGGTCTGTTCGTTTGCCTTAAAAAAATGGGAAATCAAATAAATAGAAAACTATTTCTAAGAATAATTGTTTTGGAAGTGTTTGGTTTGCTAAAAAAAGAAGGAAATCAAAGAAATGGAGATGAAATGATGTTAGTTGTCACATTATTATTGGATGATGTGAGTGATTTTTTAAGAAAACTAGTTTTGATGTTGTTTGGTTGGCGAAAAAATAAGGAAATGAATTATAAGAAACATATTTCCTGTAGTTTGTTTATTTCTTTTGTTTGGTTCATTCTTAAAAATAAGAAATGAAATGAGATGAGATGAGTTGTCATTGTATTATTGGGTGGAAATGAAATGAGATGAGATGAGTTGTCATTGTATTATTGGGTGGTGTGACCCACACTTAAGAAAAGTGTTTTCACAATTTTTTGGGATGAAAACAAAGAAATGAAATGTTAATGAGATGAGGTGAATTGTTATAATATTTTATTAGATGATATGAGTGATTTGAAATGATGAGAAGATATGAGTTGAGTGATGTTTGGATGAAAATAATATTTTATTAGATGTGATGGAAGAGTTGTTAGATGAAAATAATATTTTATTAGATGTGATGGATGAGTGGTTAGATAAAAATAATATTTTATTAGATGATATGGATAAGTTGTTGGATGAAAATAATATTTTATTGGATGTTGTGGGTGAGTTTTAGGGATGGAAATGGAGGAAATAATACTTTTTGAGATTTTCGCCTTTTCCATTTCCATTTCTTGGTTTTTAGGAAATAACCGAACAGACCCTTAAGGAAAACAACCAAAGGGGTCCTAGAAGGAAACTGTGATATTTGTTGGTTAAACTTCTTCATGTGCATTGCTCCTTCTGACTCTTGTACATATAGAACTACGTAGATATATGTTGACTCTTGTACATATAGAACTACGTAGATATATGTTTAGAAAAGAAGAAATTTTCTAAATAAACCTATTCATATATTTTTTTAAATAGACCCCCTTGAGTTTTATTTACAAAAATACACCAATTTTATCTTAATCCGGTTCCTAAATAGTCTGGGTTGTCAATCCCGACTATTTAGGAGGTTATAAACCCCTAATTATAACCTTAAACCCTAACATTCTATGCACTAAATAGTCGGGGTTGGCAACCCCGGCTATTTAAAAAACGGATTAAGACAAAATAAGTTATTTTTTGTAAAAAAACTCAAGGGAGTCTATTTTTAAAAAAAAATTATAAATGGGATTGTTTAGAAAATTTCTTCTTAGAAAAATACACTGCTCCTTTGATATTTTATTATCTAAGATATTTTTATCTGACTTTATCCATTTCAAAAAGATTCTTTCTTCTTCACTTTTTTACCCCAGTAGTGACCTTATTCAAAAAGATTCTTTCTCCTTCCAACTTAGTGAACGTTTAGGAACTAGAAAAGATTTGAACCGCGGCAGCATAAGAATCAAAGCTAAGATGGACGCCGAAAAATAACAAAGAGTTGCCCCAAATATAGGCGGTCATTACATGAATCATATTCTTCACTATAATTCTATTATGAGTCATTTCCTCCGTTAAGTAACTATTATCATAATGAATGCTGACTGTCGGTATTATAAATGCTACAGAAAAAAAATTGCTTATGTGTGTAAACTGTTCATTATGTGTGTACCGCACGTAATGAATGAATTAGTGTCGGTATTTAAAATACCAACAGTCAGGATTCATTATGTGAACGAATGAATTGCTGACTATCGGTATTTTAAACGCTACAGAAAAATTGCTACCAGTATGCTTCTCATCTATTTAAAAAGTTAAACTTTCATCTTAAAAAAAACCCGTTTTTACTTTATTTTTAAAAAACGACCTAGTTTCCTACTTCGTTGAAACTGGGTCGTTTTTTTGTGAAGTCAACTCCCGTGAAGTTTTTTTCATAACAAAACTTCACGGGAGTTCAACTCCCGTGAAGTTTGTGAACATTTTTCGTAAAAAACGATCCAGTTTCAGGCTGAAACTGGATCTTTTTTTGAGAATATTTTCAAAACGGGTGTTTTTTTGAGAATATTTTTGCAAAAGAGTCTGTTTTCAAAATTTATCCCCCAAAAAAATCATGGATAAAAAAAGTACATGCAAAATATAAATTTGGGAGCTTTAAAACTGCAAACACAAATGTGAACGAATGGCTTACTATCCACCAGCAAATCAGACGAAATGTGGAAATTAATTGAATGCAATTATGGAGAGGAAGAGGTTAGTAAATTAGTGCAGAAGGAACATCATACGCAAGTCTTTAGATAAACCCGGCAGCGTCTCCGCAATTGATCTCGATTAGGGTTTCTCGAAAGTTTCTAATTTGGTCAAAAGACCTTATCTTCTCACTGAAGAGAGTGATACAAAGGTGAGATTTTGATCGAAAATTCTACATCACTTCTTCGTTTAATGTGTTGGGCACCTTTCAATTCTTTCAACAATTGGTATTTTCTCGGCACTTCATCTCTGTTTTTTTTTTGAAAAATTTATATTTTTTTCCCCAATGATTTAACTCATGGGTAGATGCACAGAGTTTTCTACATTCTTTTAATATTTACCCAAATTTTCGTTTCAGATTTTATCCAATTTTGAATCCTTCTAAATAGCAGTCAATATTGGAGTAATTACTTATTGTTTGATTAATCCCAACAAAAAAGTTAATTTTCGAGATTCAATTTAAGATTTTTACTCTTAAATGAGAAGTTTCCACCTTTGACTAATTTCTAGCAGATATTTGTACTGCAGTTCGATTCATCAATGGCAGCCTTTCAGATATCTGGATCCGTAGTCACTGGAAAAGTCCCTTCTTTCGATGGGCTTCGCCTCTCTAAACCCACATTTGCCGCCCCCTCATCAGTTGGAGCTTCTGGGCTCGGCGTCGTGCAGAGGTCCTACAGAGGTTTTGTTGTCAAGGCTGCCACTGTTGTTTCCCCCAAGGTATACATCTAACTTGTGTCTGTTTTTTCAAATATGAAGGTTTTTTTATTATTATTTAGTATCAATTGGTTCTTGTTGGTACTCGTTAAACGGTAGGATAAGCAATGAGTGCATTCATAGGGGTTAGAGTTGCTAGTGCTGCTAGTGAGGATAGAAAACAAGAATCGATTGATACCGTTTGGTCATGTACGACAGACACATTTAATGCACCTGTTGGGGAAAATGATAATATTATAGTGAACAAGGTAAAGAGAGATATGGGTAGACCTAAAAGAACTTAGATAAAATCAATTAAGAAGGATATGATAATAGTTACTTAACGGAGGAAATGACCCATAATAGAATTATATGTAAGAATATGATTCATGTAATGACCGCTTATATTTGGGGCAACTCTTTGTTATTTTTGTTGTTACATCAACTGATTCCTGGAGTAATTTAAAGGGGTATTCTTGTTGAAATTTGGAAGTTATAAAAGTATATTGGAACCTTAGCATGGAGAACGATTCGAAGGCAAATATGCAAAATTTATGTTCTAAAGACTATTATAGAGACCCATTGCATTGTGGATGATAAGTAGAATCTTTTAGGGAATTATATTGATATCTTAATGATTTTACGAGGGGAAGGCGTGAATTTTCATGCATATAAATTGCAATATGGTAATTAACTTTCCATATGGTATGTTAGACTGGTTGAAAATGGTATTTACTAGAAGTAACATTTAATAATAATGAAGAATCTAAAAGTACTGCGTGAGATGTTCATGTTAATTTTTATGAGCTTATGAATCAATTGAACTAGAGTATATTTCTAGCAAGGATTGTGTTAATACAGTGCGAGTATAATAGGATTTTGACTGAATGTCGTGCGTTACATTCATGGGGTTTATGAACTATGTGCAGTACACCTCCGTCAAGCCTTTGGGTGATAGAATACTTATAAAAATAAAGACTTCTGAAGAAAAGACTCAGGGCGGCATTTTACTTCCGACCACTGCACAGACTAAACCTCAGGCAGGTGAGGTTGTTGCTATTGGGGAAGGCAAAACCATTGGAAAGGCCAAAGTTGACATCAGTCTTGAGGTAGCTCTTATGAATCTCTGGTACTATGGTTTTATGGCTATTATAATTGTTTTGGGTTATTTCTCATATATCTGCTAAGATGCTGTTTCAATTAGATTAAAAGATCAATCTTTACTTGGTTCTATTTGAACTGATAAAAACTAACTTTTTATACACAGACTGGAAAACAAGTGGTGTATTCTAAGTATACAGGGACGGAACTGGAATTTAATGGAGCTAATCATCTTATTTTGAAGGAGGATGATGTTGTAGGGGTTCTTGAAACAGAAGATGTTAAGGATCTCAAGCCTCTAAACGACCGGGTCCTTATCAAGGTTAAATTTCTATCCTTACAATTATGTTTGCAATTATGTGAGCAGTATTCCTTGTGTGTTATTGTTTAGTACTACTTTTCCTCAGCTTCTGCCCGTAGAGGATCTTTTAGATAGTCAGCTTTGCTGAAACTTCCAACTTAGTTTGTCACTAGAAATGAGAAGAATTGTGTGATAGATGTTAGGACATATTTGATAATTGAAATGTAATAGTTGCCCAATGTTGGAAACATGATAAGAGGCAAACATAAGTTTTAATTGACATGGTTGATAATCTGTTAAACCTTAATTTCCTTATGTTCCTGCGACTGAATTATGTCATCGTGCACTCCATCTTGACAGAAATTAGCTGTAAGTTTTCTTTCTGATAACTATCTTGGACATGTTCTTAGTTGTACCACGTTAGTTTGACATCCGATCTGTAAAGACCTGCGTGCTGTGATATGATTTGTGTTCCTTAATTATGTTAGTGACTGCTTTAATTGTATTGAATACAAATGTAAGATACGGTAAGAGAGTACATTATTTTATCACAACACATGGTTCAAGTTTGATGCGCCCAATGCCAAAATGCTAGCTTGCAGCAATATGGTGTGATGATAATGAGTATGCTTTAGAAATTCTGTGACATACAATGACAATAAAAAATCAATGGTGATTGGTGACTACTGATGATATGTTGTGCATCTCTGAATTGATCTCCAGCTGCATTATGGTTTTGCCAAAGATCATTGAGGGAAGATTGTATAAAACATAGTAGTCTCAGGAATTCCAGAAACTATCACTTGCGGGATTTTCGGTTTCGTAATTAGGAATCACTGGATTCCTGGTCAGTGTTCACGTGCAAATTCTTGTTACTCTAATTTATATATAAATAATGTTGTTGTATAAAACAAACTGCACATGTAAGCAAAGTCCATGTGCCTGCTGATAGTTCTTTTGGGTGCCAAATAATAGTCATAGAATGTACCAACTTATTCGACCAAGTGAAGCAATCCATCAGATTACAGATTACTGGTTTCTTAAAAATCTATTTGACCATTAATCTTACAAATAATTAAGCTGACTTGGAATCTGAAATTAACTTCCAAGGCTAGCCTTCGGTCATAAAATTAGATCTTCACATCCATTTTGTGTTTCAGGTTGCTGAAGCTGAGCAGAAAACTGCTGGAGGTTTGCTTTTAACCGAAGCTACCAAGGAAAAACCCTCCATTGGAACGGTAAGATTGCCTTTCCTTCTCCTTCAACCACGACGATGCCATAACTTTGGAGTTCAAAAACTTATGTGGAAAATCCAGGAAGAGCCCAGTTCCCAGTTGCCCTGGAATTCATTTTCACAAGTGTTAATTGTTAATAGGCCCCCTTGAGTTCTTTTGTTGTGGATAGACTCCGAGTACTCTCACCCAATTTGCAGATAGATCCCTCAAGGGAAATATTTTGGACTCTTTTACCCTCAGGAGTCTATTTGTCAAAAATTAATTTTGTCTCTGAGGGTGAAAAGGGGAGAGAATTCCATTCGTGGGTCTATCTGCAACAATTTCACTACATGGGGTTCTGTATGCAACCAGGCAATAGTACAGGGGTGTATTTGCACTTAATCGGTTCCAAAACCTAGAGCCTTCAGATAAGGAAAAGCGTATAAATGCAAGTGACACATTTGATATGATGATTGATTCTTTTTTTATATTTTGCTGTTTTGAATCAGGTCGTTGCGGTTGGACCTGGAACATTGGATGAGGAGGGCAACAGAAAACCGCTGACCATCGCAGCAGGCAGCACTGTTCTCTACTCCAAGTATGCGGGGAATGAGTTCAAGAGTGCTGATGGTTCCGACTACATTGCCCTTAGAGCTTCGGATGTCATGGCTGTTCTCTCCTAGAACCACATAGCATTGCTTTATAGTTTTGTTTTGGAGAATGCATGAACTCTTGAAGATTTTGCGTTTAGTTCAGAGGCAAAAAGAGGCCATTGCAGCTTTTTTGTAGTTTGGTTCAGTGACGGTGCGTTATCTAATATCTTTCAGTTTTGAGTGGTCATTACTTTTCTACAGCTCGAGTCCCAGCATAATGTATTGCCTGAAGTAGTTTAGGTTCTCGGCTGTTTTGTAATTTTCCGGTTTCCCATTTCTTAAAGACTTTTCATCTTGGTTTCAAGGTTTCTGCACTAAATGTCTATGATTTTGTGTGGGAACGTCGGTGAGTGAAAAATCATTCGCATCTACTGTAGACATTGTTGGGTTTGTGGCTTCCATCTCGAGCCATTTTGTTAAGAGTCTTTTTTGCCAGTTAAATACAGGACAAAAGGTAATTTATTGCACATAGTTCTTATGAAACTATGTGACGCTTCAATCCCATAACGAAAAAAATAGTTCCAAGCTGTAATTAATTCTTAATTTATTTAAACTGAATATGACTGGAAGATTGAGCAGATGCTGATGAAACATAGACTAGCGAAGAAACTACCAAGTAGGGGTGGTAAATGATCGAATCGAATCAAATACTAAGGTGTTCATATTTGTATTTGTTTAAAATTATCGAATTCGAATGCGGACTCTATTATTCATATATCTAGTTTTTCGAATTCGAACTCGAATACTTGGTATTTGATAAATATTCATGAACATTCACGAATACTTATCGAATATCAAAGTATATTTATTTCGCTAAAGAGTTTAATTTTCAAATAGTATTAAAATTTATAAATAAAAATTATTTCTTTATAATATATGATGTATATATATATAAATCAAAATTTTAATTAGAAAACAGATTTAAGATTATTTAAGTCTTAAAATCTATATATAAAATTTAAGTAGAAATGGTAAGTGGGTTAAAAATATATCATATGTGCAATAATACAAATAATAAGCTATGATCAAATTTTAAACGAATATTTAATAGACAAACGAATCGAATATACATCTGGTTAAATTCTATTCGTTAATAAACTCGAATACTAAAAAATATTTGTTTAATGATAAATGAACTATCGAATCGAATATGACCAAATAGTTATTCGAACAATTATCGAACCATTTATTAATTATTTGGTTCATTTCCACCCCTACTACCAAGGCCAAAGAAACACATATACGTGTTGAGAACCCAACATAGACTAGCGAAGAAGCCACTCAGCAAAAAAAATCACATACATATATTGAGAACCCAGCTTGATGAACAATGCTCGAATAAATCAGAAAACACCCCTTTTATATATATGTTGAGAGCCCAACTTAATGAACAATGCTCACGTAAACCAGAAAACATTCCCTTTATAACAAAAACTTTGAACTCCTCAGCATCAGTACTCTCTCCTGTGTTACTAGAGCCTACAGTTATATAATGATATACTTTCACCTAAAGCGTTTTATATTTAGCACTATCTGATTTCTATGGTTACAACAAAACATCTTGAATACAGTGATCCAGACCTCTCCCCGAAACCTCTATTTCATTCGCTAATGAAATGATGCAGCTGTTGAACCTCTGCTGCTGACAGTATCTTGATGCTCTGAACACAGGTCACAAACTCCCTACGCGCACATAATACAGGACAAATATCATGAACATCAAAAATAAAAAACTATATAAAATTCATTAAATTTAGATGTGAACTTACTCCAAAGGGTCATCTCCAACCAACAGAATATCGTTCTCATGATCTTCGTACACTAGTTTCCAATCGGTTCTATGAGGGTCTTCGGAGTTGCCTTTCAATTCCAAACATGCGAGCTAGGACTTGACTTGACGTAGGTCATCATAGCCTCTGTAACGGGTGACATCGATGGATCTTCCAACAGATCCACGCTTTTGAACCTATGAAATGCAAAGAAAGATTCAACCTTTGAAATCATAACCTGCCATTTATCTAACATTTACATGCACAAATATCCAGTCTTGCAACGAGCTCAGAAGAAACCTCATGTCAGCAAGGTTTTGTTTTTATTCTTGGGTCAATTGTACATAGTATCGTTGTTTTGAATTTAATACCCTTGTAGTTTAGTTGTCACAGATAGATACCCCGGGTTGCAATTCTTTTTACTTTTTACCCTTGAGAAAGAGTAAATTGTTTTCTCACAAATAGGCCCCTGAGAGTAAAAGAGTGACAACATTTTCACTAAGGGGTTCTTTCTGCAAAAATATAACGAGAGAGGTAGTACGTTCAAAACATCAATTCTGAAGGTGGTTTTTCTTTCTTTTCCTCATGAATAGTTAGCACAGTAATATTAGGTGGCCTAACCACATATCTAGCTTTGAACTCATCATCCTTTTAATATAAATGTAAAAATGCTAGTCTGGTGAGGAATCAATAATGCTTAATACAAATATATCGTTCAAAATGTGTGAGATGATCTCTTTAAAGAATACAAGTTCATACCTCGGGTTATAAAAGATAGTAAATGGGCTGTTATTTGCAGCAGCATGAGCAGCCGCAGCAAGGATTCCAATATGCATGCTATCACTAGATAGCACCGATGATGCTAGAGCAGGCTGTTGTCTATTAGCACGCCTAATTCCCAGGAGAAGCTGTGATTTATCGTCTCTGATATAAAGAAAATGGTATCCTCTGTTAGAGATACTTAAACATAGATACTGAACAAATATTATCACATGTATACATTAAAATACAGTATAAAGAGGACAGAATCTCCAGCAAAAAGTCTTTTGGTACTAACAAACACACCAACCTGTAGTCAGTAAATGCCTTTTCGGCTGACCTGCAAAGGCAACAGATACAGTTAAAAAAGGAAAATTGCTCCCAAATATGGTTTATTATGATAAATAATAATTTAGTACCATTTCTTCGAAGCCTAGTACCTATTTTAATAAGGTTATTGATCCACGCTGCTTGAAAGGTTCAACATATACTTGAACACACTCTAAAGAAGCATGTAATTAATTGACATTCAAGTAAAGGAGGGTGTTGTGCAGGCATGCAGACTGAATGTAAAAGTGTGCTATTTTAGATCTTTGGTTTGCAAATGATCCCCTTGGTCTTGAGCTATTTAGTCTATGCATTTTCAATTTAGAAGAATATCCCTTTGATTTCTTCATTTAGGTTATTGATGGTTGATATGTGCCTATAGTCTTGAGGTCTTCGTGTAATACCAATTTGAACTTTTCTAGCAAAGACGGTACTTCTTTCCTATGGCTCGTTTTGTGAATAAGTTAAAAGTTGAATAATGTGCAAGTCCAAAATCATCCAAATCATTCCATGAAGAAGCATGAATGTAAAGAAAAAAAGGAAAAAGACACACACCTCGATAGATATGTCGAAATGCCCATGAAACATCATGCAAATCTTTCGCTACTAATTCTTGACAAGGCGGTTGCATTGTAAAATCCTAAGAAGCACATTATCCTAGTAAGTCTCACATCAAATATGATATATAGCCTTTCTACTTCACGAGCAAGGATGATAAATGGTAAACCGCAAATACCTCTCTCTCACTCTATACCTAGTAGAACATATCACCCCTCAACTTTTTTAGTAGAACTTATTAACCCTCAAGGCTTATCTGAAATTTTTACTTCTCAAAATGCCAATCCAGGAGGGGTAAGCACTAATAATTTAGTTGGCAGATGATAAGTGTTACTGAAAGGCATAGATGAGGAGGGTTCTCTGCAGTTTATTCTTAAAGACAAATAAATAAAGAAACATAAACATACTTAAGGAGGAAATATCTTTTCAGCTGCACGCCGAGGTACTGAAAATCCACCATGAGAACTCGTATCACTTGCTGTAAGTGTCTTGCAAAAGAATTCTGCAGGATGCTTGTTTTGCTTGAGACCCATTTCAGATGCTGGTAATCCCTCCTTATCATGCTATACAAACATCATCAACAACATAATACGGAAATTAAAAAAAAAAAAGCTTGTGCGCATTTATATTTATATTTATATAACTTATAAAGACAAAACAAACTAAATCAATGTGATTTCTGGCCTACTTTGTTAACAAGTTGAAGAGTCATTTGTGCATAAACCTCATCAGTTCAGCATCAGCCTGATTGAAATAAGGTAGCATATCACATGAGTAAAAAAAAAAAACATAAACGCATACTAAACTAACTTGTAACGTTTCGATCATACATGAAGGGTAACACTGACAAGAACACATATAAGCTTAGATGGCAACGAGGGATAACTTGGGACGCTATCAATCTCCTTATGCATTGAAGCTGCTACCTGAAATAGCAATAAGCAGTACTATTAGATGCCAATATTAGATAAAATTTGTGCAATAAAATTGAGATAAAGAACTCACCTGTTCACTATGACCTTGAGGGGAATAGACCACAAGGCTGCCAACTGGAGGCAAAGACACAAGAGGTCCAGCACAAGCATGCCATAACTCTGAATTGATAGTTTTTCTCTCTCCTGCATCATCAACAAAGTATACTTTCTTCAATTCTTAGGTACTCAACCCTCTTCTGCTATGCTATCATGAATTTATATGAAAATATGCATATGCCAAGCTCTTTTTTGGCTTTGCTTTGTCCTTTGAGTTTAGGTCTGAAGTGTCCTCAATTGCTAGCCTTATTCTAAAGACAGTTATAATCTATAACTCTTATGTCAATTTTATATTATCAACAAATTCCCCACCCTGTCACGCAAAAGCAAGGTAATTTTGTTTCCTTCTGGGAAGAAATAAAAGGAATTTTTTGCTCCTAAAAGCTCAAAGGTTCAATAAATATATGATCTTTGTTTAGGAAAAACGGGATGGAATTATAGTAACAATTTTGAACAGAATAATTCCAACAAAACCATTCATAAATCAGCTAATATAACAAGTTAAAAATTAAATATTACTTAAAACCTACTTAATATGAGCTAATATCACCATTACTTCCTAAATCATAAATTCGCTAAAAATCCAAAAAAATCCACTTCAAAAATCATGTAAAATACCCTAAAAATCCAAGCCCTTTTAACGAGTACCAACAAGAACCAATTGATACTAAATAAAAAAAAACTTCATATTTGAAAAATCAGACACAAGTTAGATGTATACCTTGGGGGAAACAACAGTGGCAGCCTTGACAACAAAACCCCTGTAGGACCTCTGTACGATGCCGAGCCCAGAAGCTCCAACTGATGAGGGGGCGGCAAATGTGGTTTTAGAGAGGCGAAGCCCATTGAAAGAAGGGACTTTTCCAGTGACTACGGATCCAGATAACTGAAAGGCTGCCATTGATGAATCGAACTGAAGTACAAATATCAGCTAGAAATTAGTCAAAGGTGAAAACTTCTCATTTAAGAGTAAAAATCTTAAATTGACTCTGGAAAAATAACTTTTTTGTTGGGATTAAGAAAAAATAACTTTTTTGTTGGGATTAATCAAACAATAAGTAATTACTCCAATATTGACTGCTATTTAGAAGGATTTAAAATTGGATAAAATCTGAAACGAAAATTTGGGGAAATATTAAAAAAATGTAGAAAACTCTGTGCATCTACCCATGAGTTAAATCATTTGGAAAAAATATATATAAAAATTTCAAAAAAAATCTAATTCTATTCTTCTCTTTTCCGTGTAAAAAAAATATATAAAAATTTCAAAAAAATCTAATTCTATTCTTCTCTTTTCCCGTGTACCAAAGTTTATATCCAATCTTTTCAATTTCTCTAGATTTTTTCACTTTCTTTTATTATATTATCTACAAGTATTCCCACTTCATTCCTATTCTTCTTTTTTCCCGTGTACCAAAATTTATATCTGGTCTTTTCAATTTCTCTAGATTTTTCACCTATCCATTTAGTTTATTGTAAACAAGTTATATTTATCTTTTTTCTAATCATGACATCCACTAATTCCATTGTCTTTCCGATAAGTGTACCTATATCCAAGTAGCAATTCTCTATTTTCTTGTAAAAGTCTCCTACCATTTTCCCCCTTAGACCGTTCTAGTCTATGACGAATACTATTAGGTACCCTATTAGAGAATTGTAAATTCTTGGAACACCCTTACTTACTTGTCATTACACCAGGGGTGACATCGATGTAATGTGTCGCTTCCGGGGGACGCCCTACCAAACGGAACCACACTTGCTTACTTATCATTGCACTAGGAAATAACTAATACATAATGCTTGCACTAGGAGGAACAAAAGAAAATACTAAAAGTTGTTATGCATGATATGCAGTGGATAATAAATAAGATGCTGAAATATCAGAAAATTATCAAGAAATTCACCATCAAGCAAATAACTAACCTTAAATGGCATCACGTATCCTAGTATTCCTCAAACACATCTCCAATATCCATCTCAGAATCCTCTGCAAGGGAAGCATCCTCAAGTGTATCAACATCTTCTTCATCCTTGATTTTTAAGAACGATGGTTTAGTATCATGATCATCGTCGAAAAGTTTATCTTCCTCATCATCAGAACTGCCATTGTAACTCTCAATTCTTTTCCTCCTTCCTCTATAACCAGTGAGACGCAAGATCTTTTCCTTCCAAAGATATAAAGGAGACTTATCAATCAACTCCGAACCTTCATATGCTTCCGTCAAAAATGCACTGAACCTCTTTCCCCTTTCAGAAACGTAGAAAATGCCATAGTGCTTCAGCAGTATTCTCATCAGCTTCTGAGGCATAACAAACTCCCTACGAAAATGTGTGAGATGATCTGTAACAAGCCTCTTTTCAATGGTAAAGCTCAATATCTCATGCATAACTGCAACTGCCCGCTTATCAAATTCTTGCGAGCCAGGAGTTAGCTCTCTAGCATCAGCATATGGAGACAGATACGCTCTCTTCTGAAAATGTTCGATTTTTCCACCAATTCTGAATATTTTCTTGAAATTAGAAGGAAATTTCATTGGAAAAGGAAGGGAAAGAATTCCCGGTGAATGAGACTCAGGCGCATAATTAGTCCCCATCATAGCTCTCTTCTCTATTTCTGTCACAGCCCAAGAAGGATTCCAAGAAGTAAGCTCCAAGAACTCAGCATCATCCCTTTTAACAACTCTAAAATATTCGGGGAACATATGAACCCATCTAGTTCTGAAATCAAATGGAAAGCAAATGTCTCTTCTAAAATGGGCAACTTTGTCCATTGGAAGTCTCTTATCCACTGACATCATCAATAACCTTGTGACATATTCAACTGCTTTGTTTGTATGAGCTTCAAGCAGCCTATTCTCTTCTTTGACGAGCTCTTCGGCCTTCTGTGTCAGCCCACACCATATAACTCCTTTCTTGTCTCTGTAGAGCTCAAAAAGCTTTGGAGATTTCTTAATGAAGTCAGAAACCTTGTGAGGCTTGCTAAGATTAATTTGTTGCTTGTATTGTTCCAACCGTCTCAAGGGTATGATTTGTTCCGGTTCTTTCCTAAGAACTTCCATTATAACTAACACCTTCGATATCACTTTCCATCGTTCTGTAGCAATTTCAAGGTCGTGCACTCTCTTATTCTGGCTTCTGTCCTGCACTCGTTTACTCTTGGTCATCCACCGCTTTTGTGAAGACCAGGCAAGCCAATTTTGAAAGATTCCATCGTTTACTCTCGGAGGACAAGCAAGTGATATCTCATTAAGCCCATTTATGATTCCATTTCTCAACTTCCTAGTTCCAATAATGTGTTTAATCATCATTACGTCTTGTTTGCAGTCAATGAGCACATCAACCTACATATAAGGCAATTTTTAAACCATTAGGAATGAGAAAAGATTTGAACCGTGGCAATGTGCATTCTCTATTTATTTGTGTGTTTGTGGGTATTGGGAATGGGGGTGGAATTGGCACTTAGGTATCAGTTGAAATTTTTTAGCACTAATTTTAGTAGCTTGTAGTTCCTAATTCCGAAGCAAGTTTTAGCTTATAACTTGCTACTTTAATTCAAGGTGCATGTGCTCTAGAACTTCACAAAATTTTAAGCTAAATCATTTGTCAAACAAACTAGGTCTTTTCAGTTTTCAGTCAATAAAGGATAGCAAATTAGGGCTTTTATCAAATAAATTAGGGCTTTCCACTCAACGTAGGGCTAGCAAATTAGGATTTTTTATCATACAGATTAGCGCATTTCATTCAACAAATTAGAGTTTCGAATTCACCTTAGTGTTAGAAGAAACCGAGGAGGAGAATTTTCGTAGGTCGCTGTTGATGGTCGGTCGAGCTTGAAGGCGGAGGCTTGAAGTCGGTCGAAAGCGGAGCCTTCGAGACGGCTGAAGTCGAAGGCGGAGGCTTGGAGACGGCGGAGGTTGAAGGCAGAGGGCGGAGGTCGAAGGCGGAGGCTTGAATGGAGACGGCTGAGGTCGAAGGCGGGGGCCGAAGGCGGAGGCTTTGAGATCGTCAATTTTAGGGCAGAAGAAAGCGAACGATTTTGATCTCTGCTATCGGGAGAATTTTCATTTAAATTTAAATCGGGTCGGGTAGAGGACAAGATGGGTTGTACATATAAAGACCCGACACAAGACCTAAGTATAAAAATTAGCTGAGTCATACCCATCCGTACCCATCCGGATATCCATAAAATCGGACCCGAAGACCGTACATATTCCTTTACAACAATGGGAGGATCCAAGATTTACTATTTAGGCTATAATAAATGCTATAGTAATGCTGTAGCATTGTTACCGTAGCATAAGCCGGAGGATCCAAGACTCGTTATTCATGTTATAATAAAATGATTCGCTATTCATGCTACAGTATAATTATAGTATTGTTACTGTGGCACAAGCAGAAGGATTCAATGTTCACTATTCATGCTATAATAAATTATTATAGTATTATTATTATAACACATGTGGGAACTGTAGTGTTTAAAAACATTACCGTGACATTATTATTATAGTTCAGGCGGGATAAAGTAACATTTAAAAAATGTTACTGTACCACTTACAAAAACTGTATTTAAATACAAAATTACTATCGCGGAAATAAAAAAATAAAAGTCGTGCTATGCGCAGGGTGCAGACTAAGTCCGAATGAAAACCCAAGTCCCCTTGGCATCAAAAGCACGACATTACTAAGTGTACAACTCTGTATCCTTGAGTTCTAAGGAGACAGGCCAACTAGTCTGGCGCACGACAAGCGGCCTCAGGTTCGACGGTTGGATCCTCTCTGGATTTACGCTGTAGAGGATCGTTTCCCGGTCGAAATCCGACCGGGATGGGACCACAACCACCTTTTGCTACTGGGCTGGGCTTTTTTTTTTCTTCACAAGAGCTTTGTCGGCAACTTACTACGAACTGGCATTAGAGCAACAGATTCTACTTACCCCAAGACTCTGTTTTCTTGTTAACGTTCCAATTTCAATATCAATATCAATTACTTTAAATTATTACATCACCAGTATAAACGCAATATAAGCAAATGTAGATTCCATGCATAGACCCCTCAGTTATCATCAGCGTTCGGTACACGCTCCCAAGTCTCCAAGCGCAAAGTCAACAACAAGTAACAAAAGATGAATTTGCGCCCTCGAGAACTCACACGATAAAGGTGCCGACATCACTTTAGTTTTGTGGATAGAAATTTGAATAAGGGCGGTGAGAGCCCATAATTAAGCATGCAAAATGAGCAAAAAAGAATAACGTAGAGGGAGTAAATTGTGAATTGGTGAAGAAATATGATTGCGAGGCCAAGGGGGGTTATGATAACTTGAAATGGAGGCAAAATCATTAGAGGTTGCAATGATGTGCTCTCTCTCTCTCTCTCTCTCTCTCTCTCTCTCTCTCTCTCACAAAATGTGTTTGTGTTTGTTTGTGGGGATGCGTTCAAGTTGTCCTCTGCATTCTGCTCTCTAAAAGCTAGTAACTACTCCTTACCTTAATATGGATGAAACGTATGCATCATCTTTGGGCTCAGGAGCAAATTTCAACCGTGGTGGATTACACATTGAGTATGACAGAGACAGCTCCTCCTCTCTCTCTCTCTCTCATTTTTTTTTTGTTAGAATTAATATAAACTATAATCCTCGATCTTTACCATAACTTCGAAGTTCTGGTTTAATGGTTAGAGGAGCTTAATTTAAGATGGTATCAGAGCAACCCAGGTTCAAATCCCACCGGTCATAAATTAAATACAGATTTTCTAAAAATTGACACCGCTACGTGAGTCCAGGTTTTGACTTGTAAAAAAAATGTGTTCGACCTGTGGGGGCATGTTAGAATTAATATAAAACTACAATTCTCAATTCTTATCATAACTTTGGAGTTTTGGTCTAATAGTTAGAGGAACTAAACTTAAGAGGGTTGTTGGTTAGAATTTTTGTATAGCCTTCAAAAACTATAATCCTCGATCATTACCGTAAGGGGCATGTTAGAATTAAAATAAAACTATAATCATTGATTATTACCATAACTTTGGAGTTTTGGTCTAATGGTTAGAGGAACTAAATTTAAGAGGGTTGTTGGTTAGAATTCTTGTATAGCCTTCAAAAACTATATTGGATTATTCTTATGTAGGGATATCGGTTAGTTAAATGTTTAACAAATTACCATTGTTTTGCTGACCGTGCTTTGTAATAATTTTCCAAAATAATTAATTCTTAAACTATGCGGCATTAAATTATTCTCCCTGAAAATACATTATTCAGGACAATTAGAATCCTAGATCGAGAGCTTATTGTTAATTAAATCAATTTATGATAAATAAACTTCTAATTAATAGTTAGACCTCTATTGATCTGATCACCTATTAATTAAAAAACCTCTTCGTATTGTATGATCACATACAATCCATGCTTGTATACCATGATTGAGCTAAGCATTAATTGTGGCTTAAAATATCCACAGCTGATATTGCTGAGCCCTTCTCTAGGAAGAGTATAGGGAAAAGTTGAAATTTTGCTTATACGAAGGTTTCGGAACTGCTCGCTCGTAGGCGGATGATTCTGATAAGATTGGTGGTCTATCTTTTGGTTAACAAAGAGATTGGTCAACACAATTGCCACACAAGTGCCACAATGCCCCCATATAGAGTAGAAAATTATGGCATAAGTTGAGATAAGATGATGATGAGAAGGAGGAGCAAACTAAACAAATTGTCACCGTTATTCCATAAAAGGAATAAAGGCTCTAGTACCTCCCCACCCCCCGCCGCCCCACAACCTCCCACCCCAGCCCCCCCAACAAAAAAAAGAAAAAACTCCAAAAAAAATCTCATCCTGTAATTGAATGATCCAATGCTCTCTAATGAAAACTTACGATAGTTTTTTTTTTAACTAACTGGTCCGCGTAACGACACAAAAATACAAATAAAAGAAATTGCATATGATAAAATCTTATAAACAACCTTTTCTTCTCATGATAATCACCTAAACCCCTTCTACACATGAATACTATTGATCATATAGAAAAGTTTTGCCGTTTTGCGTTGTTGTGGACTAAAATGAGGGTTCCTATGAACATGGGTACAATATCTAGAATATATAGTACATAATTTGAAATCAATTGCATTAAAGACATCAAAGAACATGAAAAGTTCTA